TCCTCTGATTGGGAAATAGAACCTTCTTGACCATTGCTCGGGCAAAGAAATAATATCAACCTGGCGTATGTTTTCCCCAGGTCTTCCTTATATTTTTCCAAGATAAATGGCTCACTAGTACCAGGAAGATTTATCACTTGGCTGCCGTCAGGGTAACAGAGCTCATACGATCGTAGTTCGCTCTTTTCTTAAGCGCTTCCTCGAGAACAGTGTTCGCCGAGGCAAGTTTTGAAACTTTCAGTGGCAAGGACATCCCTCTAACGGGTTTCATCACTCCATGACTGTAATTACCGGTGCCTATAGTAATTGTCATGAGCTCGTCCATCTTCTTCGTTTTTGTCGAGTTCTTACTGAAGAATTGACGTCTTTCTTCTGACTTTTTTGATTTGAGTCCCTCAAAATTTTCAATTGAACTTGCAGAAACCTTAGTTTTTGGTGTACTAGACGCAGTTTTGCCACACTTCGGACAAAATTTGAAGTCTTTTCGCATCCATACACCACAGACCTGACAAAACATTGCTGGTTGAAAGAGTTGGAATCGTGGACGGAATCGACGTGTGAAGCGTGGTAGAGCACAGCCTCCAGTCGTCTTGTTGCTCCGCGCTAGGTACCATTCCATTAAGATTTTATTTTGTTCCACGAAACATTGTTGTGTTCTGTGAGAATTTATTTTGTTCAACGAAACGTTGTGTTCTGTGAGAATTTATTTTGTTTCACGAAACATTGTTGTGTTCTGTGAAATTTTATTTCGTTCCAAGAAACATTGTTGTGTTCTGTGAAATTTTATTTTGTTTCACGTAACATTGTTGTGTTCTGTGAGATTTTGTTTTGTTTCTTGTCCTCAATTGAATTTTGTTTTGCCCTTGTGGGCCACAGTACAATTTTCTTCTAGATAACGACAAATATCCACCTTTAAAACGGACTGAGATAACATATTGTTTGTAAAGTCAGAATGAGTGGTAATGCGTTGATGCCTCTGTTGCTCAACTTCAGAAAGTAATCCATCGTACTCGTCGTACTCCACTGCTCTTTCATGGCAGCAAAAACATTCGATAGCTTTCGTCGAAAGTGTACACTGGCCACATTTGCAGCAACTAAGTGTTTGAAGGCGCCAGGCATTCTCCACATCGAAGGTTTGATGTCCTTCATCTTCCGAAGACGACTGACTCTCAGAATCGCTATTTTCTGACCCATTAATCGAATTATCCGTTGGTTCAGGTTCAAACAAGTACGATAAAACTTCGTTCAACTGATTAGTTTGAATTTCCTCCATATTCTTGCATAAAAGGATACTAAATACAATTTTTACYTCACTTTTATTTCTCAAAAACTATGTAAGGTATGTTTTCATTTTACCCTTGTTATGACGTCATATGGTCCACGTGACCCGAAGTTAATTAGTTCAACARACTATTCAAGATGGCGGACGCTAAAGAATTTTAGCCAAATTAATTTGTGTTTTATTGCCCACTATATCGGTTTGTTCACTAAATAWTAGCATTTTTAATGTTGCACCATAGTGTGAGCCTTAAACAGACTACGTTTTTCTACATTGCCAATGTCCTTTAATTAGTCCGCCTGGAGGATTAGTGTGCTCACTCGAGCTCGTAAATCATCCATTTCTTTCACAAATTCTTCCGCAGCAGTATTAAGTGGTATGTTTTGGCGCCTTGTTGGAGTGTAATTAACTCTAGCTATCTTATGTGGGGGTTCAATGTAAAAATGTGAAAGTGAAAATTGATGAACAACAGCCATCWTGACCGACCAAAATTAGCTAAATTTCCGGCTCTTGACTGACTCACACTTCGTAAAGCGCCATGAGTAAAGAACGTTTGCGCGTGATCACGAATCGCTTCGGGATCGGACCACTGTAAACGGTCAGCTTCAACAGCATTATTTAACAAGAAATGGAAATTTCTCTCACTGGAGCACGAGTAGGAGGCTGCCCCTTGCATCAGGAGTTGTAAATATTGCATCAGCGTGTACTGAGCCATACCTTGTTGATGAGTTGTATATTCAAGAAAGCCACCGATAAACTCGGTAATATTTAACTGGCTGTATTCAACATTACCTTTAGGTGAAAACAGGAATTCATTAGGAAGCAGCCCTTTGTTCTTCTTCCGTAGGTCAATCAGAGTAGGTACAGAATGTGGTGGCGTAAAAACAATAGGTTCTCCAGAGGTAAAAACGTGCTGTAATGGATTACTGTCGCCGGTAGTATAAGCGGGTGTAGCGCGATGTGCCTCTAAATCCAACTGAACGTTTGCTAAATCCAACTGGAATTTGAGGTTTTCGTGTTTTAGCGTCTCCAATTGAATTTGCTCGTCGATGTCTATAGCTAACTGGTGGTGTGGGACAGTAGATTCGGGCTGGCGAGAACCTGGTGAGGAGCGATCGGTTTGGATTTAGATCACCAAGKTCAAGATGAGCAGAAAGCTCAGATAAATCCGTTAGATAGTCGGAAGGCTCGAGGCGTTTGTGTAGCTGCACCGCAAAACTCACAGGCTTTGAACTAACTGGTTTATTTCTGTGAATTCTGGTTTGTTACAACTATTTTGACTMATTTCTCATCCACTGTTTGATGTTTTGACCTTTTGTTTTGTCAAAAACCTATGAGGACTRCACGTRCAAATATGCAAATCAGCACAGGTAGCCCAAACTACAAAAACTTAACAAAATCAACTCAAGAAACGGGAGTTACAGTTTGGGTTCTTTGGGCTTTCGCTGAGATTGACTAGAATGAGCCATTGCGAAGAATAAAAGAGCAGCTAGTGGATATGGTCACCTGAACTAAGAGATTGCTAACTGATTATATTACATATGCTTGCTCATTATTGTCCCATGACTGCTGAAGTGTTACAGGATTAATTGCACATTTTAACATTCCCATGTCAAAATATACACATTACCATAGCGCGGTCTTAAAAAATGGCTGGAGAAGAAGCACTTTATGTTTACRACACTGCTTTTAAAATTTGCTTGATTTTTGAGAAAGCGAAATCTATTTCTTCTCAATCTGAGGTTACATACTTTGCAAAGGAGAAGAAGACGTCAATTGGCGATTTCTTCTAACGATTCAACTCCAAAATAGAGTTTATAATCGCRGACGACCAAGAGCACGGGTTTACCCTCGTCCTCAGTTCTGGTTTGGACAACTTCTAAACGACTTAAATCAAGACCTTCTTTGGCGTGAACACTTCAGAATTARCAGAAACTCGTTYAATTTCATTTGTGGTATTTTTGGTCCAGATATGAGTAAGCAGGACACAATATTTCATCAAGCAATCTCAGTTGAGAAGCAAGTAGCGATTGCTTTATGACGGCTAGCTACTGGCCGTCTGGCTAGCTACTGAACGATAGGGCAAACGTTTGGAATTGGACGTGCCACAGCAATGAAAATCAAGGATTCCCTATGCTCTGCTGTCATTCGTAGAGCCAATGATTTTATCAAGYTTCCAAAAATAGGAACAAGAAAATGTATCCAGGGGTTTCAAAACAGCAGCACATTTCCACAAGTTGTTGGTGTTTTTGAATGATGGATCGCATATAGCAATAGGCACCCCAAGGRAAAACCCAAACGCGTATTATGACAGAAAGCAGTTTCACAGTATTATTCTGCAAGGAGTTGCCGATAGCGATAAGAAATTCTTAAATKTTAGCACTGGGTATGCGGGAAGCATCCACAATGCAAGAGTCTTAAGAATGAGCTCCGGTTACGCTACGGTTGAAAACAATTCCATTTTAGACACCCCCTTGGACAGAATTTCGGRCAGGGAAGTAAAGCCTCTATTAGTTGCCGATCYAGCCTACAAACTGACTATGTGGTGCATGAAGCCATACCCAAAGGTAAGAGGTATCACCAAGAGGCAAACAGCTTTTAACAGCTTTGTGATTGAGCAAGCTTTTGATCTTTTTAAAGGGAGATGGAGATGCCTACTAGATAATCTTAACGAATCTGAGGAGAAGGCTGCTTACACTATCATTGCCTGTTRTATTTTACATAATATRTGTTTAGATGTAGATGACGAAATTCTAGTTAACGTTGTGAATGACGGAAATGGCAATCAAGCTAACGCACTGCCAGGCCATGTCATAAACCAAGATGGTTCAGGTTAAGAAAGCATATAAAAAATTCTTTCCTTTGATAATGACTGTTATCAAA